ACCGGTCAAAACCCACCCGCGAAAAGAAGGTTCATGTATCAATAACACAGAAAATACAAAAGGATCCATCTCATGGTCCATCTCATCTCCATCCTCATGGCCCTGGTTGTTCAAACTTTGGATAGCGCTATCCAGTGGGTCATCCACTATCCAGTACAGTGGATAAGTGTTAGGGAAACAAATTAAGTTATAATTCATTCAAAATATTTCTCCGTTTCTGATTGGTTAAAACCACGCGCATAATTCACCATAACCAGCTGCTGTTGACCAATTTTGGAAATAATTTGTCATATTGAACTGATGACGTGAAAATGACGTCAGTAGTGCAGCCTGGTTGCAGGTTATTGAACCTTTGACCGAGAAAACCTGGGGACGAGGTTAAGTTGTTTTGGTAGGTAGAACAAAATGGCAGAACTGTCGCGGAACATTTTACTCGTTTCACGTCGAAATATTGCCTAAAAACATCGCAAGATAAGAACAGCAAGAAGACAACTCGACGGACAACATCTGCCATTTGGAGTATATTTGCAGACCTTAATCTCCTAAACTTCCCGATAAAGATGCATTATCGATATGAACTTACATAGACTGAGGTTAGCACGTTTTAGATTGTTTTTAAACTTGGAATTATTTTAAAGGAATAAAAAAACAATTATTGAATTCGGTCATATCCTACTCAGCCTCATTCAATAATTGCTAATTATCCACTGGATGGAGCCCTGGGCCCGGTCCCTCGAAAATAGTTAAGTTGAGCACAGGATCAGGCCAAATTTCAACCTCGGTTTTCTCGTCTAAGAACATTCAACTCGAGGTTACAAAATACTGTTGAGTCTTTACTACGAGATACAGTAATGATAACATAAAATGTTACCCTTAGCAATGCATAGGAATGTAAAATACAAACCGGAACAAAATTTTAACCCTGGATTAACGCAAATCGGCATTTCAGGAACTAGGCCCTGGAGATTTACCCAGTGAAAAGTGTTATCCACATTTCAAACAACTGGACCCTGGAGGATATCGCGTGAAGTAACGCGCGAGTGGCGCTCGAGATTCTTCACTCGCTCGTTCTCGCGCGGTTCTCTCTGCTTGCCACTCGAAATGGAGATCTTTCTCGCAAGCTAGCAAGTGCATACTTCCCTGTGCAAACTCTTTTTCTCATGATTAAGCGTTTTTTGCTAGAGAAAACCGGGCGCAAATCTCATTTCTTTTTATGCAGGTTGTCCTTGTAAGTGGACATCTAGACAGCTGGGATGTGGGCCAGGGTGCAATGGATGATGGAGGAGGGGCGTTTATTTCATGGCAAGCCCTGTCAGTAGTCCGTCAGTTGAACCTTAAACCAAAACGCACAATGCGTATGGTGCTTTGGACAGGCGAAGAAGAGGGTCTGCTTGGTGCTCAACAGTACTACAACCGTCATAAGGCAAACGCTGGTAATTTTAGCCTAGTAATGGAGTCAGACATTGGAACATTCACGCCTTTAGGTATAAGCTTCAAGGGCGGTAAAAAAGCCGCTGCTATAATGAAGGAAATCATGACACTTTTAAACCCAATAAATGCCTCCAAGCTTACTGTGACGGAGGTTGATGGTGATATTACGTTCTGGATACGTGATGGGGTTCCAGGTGGATCTTTAGACAATGCCAATCAGAAGTATTTTTATTTTCATCATACAAATGGCGACACCATGACGGTAGAAGACCCTGATACTTCGGATCTTTGTGCTGCAGTGTGGGCTGTAGTAGCTTATTCTGTAGCTAACCTAGACGATATGCTACCCAGAGAGTAGCACTGATAGAAGTGATGATATCAAACAAGATCGAAGAGTGTTTTATCCGACTAGTCCAGACATCGATCGAAGTGGTTCTATGATATTGGATGAATCACCAATCTCGTTCCCAGGGTCCTCTCTCTTCCGAAGGAATAATGGAAAGGACCCTGGGAACTAGATTGATGAAACACTCTCTCAATATAAATATAAACTTTTAAATATAATATAAATATAAACTTTTAAATGATCACCGTTTTTAAAAGGAATTCAAAGATTAAGTAGTGACTGGTAGTAGCATTCGATTTCGAAACCGTAGTATACTAACAAAATCACAATTTTATATCTCATTAGTGTAATTTTTTTTTAGTAAAAATGCATGGAGCATTTTTTTTTTTTGTCAATAGAAAATGAAAAGAATGAGCAACCAACCTGTGTTACTTTGCCACATCCAAATCTGTACAAAAAAATATGGTGCCTGTCGCAGGCCATCGATCACTACGTATGTTTTTTTTGCGACGTGTAATTCGCACTTTTAAAGCCGTGATGCTCAATTTGGGCGTAGAAACTTAAAAAAAAGCTGTGTTTAAGTTAGTACCCAGTAAGGGTAACCTTATAATTCAGATATCGTTTTTTGCGAAACTTTCGAAATTTGGTATAGAAATTGATCCGTAATAAGGTAGTTATTGGGCGTTTTTTACATCATGTTTTTTTAGAATCTACTTGTTTTCCTCCAAACTGTAATGATTTAGATTTAGGGCAACAAGAAAGTCATCGTTCTTACATATATATATATATATATATATATATATCTAGCCGAATTTTTGAAAACATACCTCAAACTGGACCAGAATATTCGCACAGAAAGCTGGCGATCGCCAGCTTTCTGGTCACTGCGGTGCGAAAAAACATAGGGGGCTTGCTGTCCTGGTTGGTCTCATTGACAAGTTCAGTCCCTGAGCTAACTCGCCATGGGTTGGAAAGGGGCCTCCATGTCAATCCCTAGGGGGGTAGGGTGCTGAAAAAGCGTTGTACCTTCCGTTAGTCCTGGTCTGGGAGAGTCAGTGCACTGCTCATGTCTGCCTTTGGTTTGTCATGTCAAATTCTTGTAACGTTTGAGGCCCATTGGCCAATGAAAGCATTCCCCTTAAGCACGTGCTAGGCTGGGGGGGTGGAGGAAGTCAGGGGGGGTGATTTAACCTTGAATTTCTCTGCTTAGAACTTGCTTAAGTCTCAAGCGTCCTCCGTCATTCAGGGCCTTTAAGCAGCTAGAGTGTATGGACAAGTCCAGAGTGTCTTTTTGATAAACTGGAATGTTTCTTTTGCTAATCAGGAACCAAGAAGAGAGTCAACTTAAGAGAACCATGGGTAAGAGCTGAGTGTCTTGGCCATATTTACTTTAGTTGAGTCAGTTTAAGGTGTGTGGGCTGCTGGTGTCTGATGGTACGGTTTTCATATATATATATATTTTTGTCAATCAAAAATCGCTTTGGGGTTTCTCTTCAGATTTTCCTTAATAGACCAAAAAACTCTCAACCACTGTTTTAGCCAGCGTTGTAGATAAGAGCAAGTTATGTAGATATTTGAACGTTGAGAAAAAATCAGACCAAGGCGGACAGCAGAATTCCTTGGCCATCAGGTGATCCTAGTTGCCCCATGCCTTGGTCATTGTACGTGTTTGCCTAGTAGCTAGGCCTCATTTTTCCGCGCAGCCTATGAGTTTCGGGATTGATCGATGAGTCCTGGGAAGACAACTTACAGCGGCTAGAAGATGTGTAAATCTGTAAATGATCACAAGCTTCAAACCCGATCCCAGCGTTCTCTCCTACTCGATCCAGTCCCCGTAACGAAGAGCGGGAGAGAGAAGGAGAGAACAGTGGGAACGAACTTTGTTTAAAGATACATTATAATTTTTGATGAAAAAGTAATGCCAGATTGTATCGTTAGTATTAGCATTTAATCTTACTTTGACGAAAAATATAATGAGAGCTATAACTGACGAATCTGAAGTTGACTAACCTGGGAAAACAGCCGAAATACCGCGTTGCCACCACTGGTTTCTCCGAGAAATGACGTCTAAGCAACGACTGCAGAAATTTCATACTGATGACGCGTCGCTACCCAGATCTGGGTAGTGCTTCTGATTGGTTGAAGCAAATTTTTAGCCAATCAGGAGCCTACCGAGATCTGAGTAGTGACGCGTCATCAGTATGGAATTTCTGCACTCGTTTTTCAGACGTCATTTCGCGGGAAACCAGTGATGGCGTCGGGATGGGCTGTTTTTCTCAGACTAGAAGTTGATGCGTTTCTCTATAACTATCGTTTATAAAGCCTTTCTTTTACCGCTAAGGGGTTAGACCTCGGTGCATTGCCTCCCCGTATTAAACATTGTCGAGTATCCCGCCCCCACCCCAGGGGTGCAATTAATATCAATGATAGCCGCATAGCAGGCGAGTTTTCGGAGTGTTTATCCTTTGTTGTTTGTAAAGCAAGAGATACATCGTCGCGAAAGCTGAACCGAGGTCAAAGGAGAAAACTAGGGGGTAGGATTCGTGCTTTTACGAAACAAAGAAAAAACATACCAAATGAAACGGCCTGGTATGCAGACTACATCGAGGGCTTAAACGGCACCTGCCAATCTTAAATGACTTATTTGGAAAGTCAGTTTAGGAGATTAAAAACGAGACCACTTTCTTCAGGCTACTGAACTTTTTATCTTTTCTCGCCTCTTCATTAACCCTTTCTCGTTACTCTATCAAGACTATAGACACCATGAAAGTTATAATTTTGAAATATATATCTCTAAGAAAAGATTAAAGCGTTAATTTTTATAAATCGGGTGGAGCCAGTACTGTTACTTGACCCGTTCGTCAGAACGCATCCGAATCTGGTGTTCCTGTGGCACTAAGGCAGAAATTTTCGAGTTATCAGAGGCCACTGCAAATTAGCCGACCCTTTGATTTTATCAGGGCACCCCCCTCGGCGGGGAAACTGGTCTCCTTTCGACTCAATTTCGTTTCCGTAATTTTTCCGTAAGTGACGAACGAGGATCTGTAATCACTGATTACCTCTTTACCAAACATGGTCTCTCAGAATATCCCTAATAAAATAGCAATTCTGCTAAAAAACGTTTTGCACTTAAAATAGTTACTTGCGGAACCGAAATGTTTTCCCGGGGTTTTGAGAAACGGACGAGAAGCCGAAATGTGAACCGAAATATTGGAGTACCGCATCAGCTTTCGTTTATTTGCGGGGCATGCGCAGTTGGGGGCCGGAGATGAGTTCTTGATAATGCCCCTATCAAGTACAAAGTGCTTCGAGGAGTGGTTGAGGGTTGGTGCTCTCCAGTCACGTCCTCACTGTCACGGTGCTCTTTCATCGCTTCTCCGACATGTTTCAAAACTTCTTTTTTGTCAAGTCCATGAGCTCTTACAAACTCGAGTTGTTTTAAATACAACTCAGCTCGTCTTTTGGCCACTCGTCTTCGATTAGGTATTAAAATCATTCTCTCCTTTTTCAGCTCAACGTCATTTTCGTCCGTCGCCCTGTCAATTTGCTCTTGTTTTGGGCGTTTCTTTGCTTCGGAATTCGGAATTGGTGGAAGAAAACTGGTTGTTCCGCGGATATGTTCCATTCTGACAACTCTAGGTCGTCGCGAAGAGGCGGAAGAGACCCTTTCAAACAGCGCTCTCTGTTTGGTTTTCTCTTTATTGCTGTCAAAACTCTTTTCTGATGAACTTTTGGAAGCTCTTCTGTCGCCAATGGTCAACCTTTCTCCAAGGACACCTGAAACGGTCCTTTTGGCCTTTCTATTCAAAGTGTTCGACAGACGCGGATCATTTCCATTCATGTGGGCCCTGAATACTTTCCTAGCAAACATTTGCTGTCCCTGTTGGCTTATATTTACCCAGGCTTCTTTGGTTTGGTGCGTCTCTGAAATATCTATCTTTTTAACGAAATCCTTGGACCTGTCGCTGATTCGAAGCCATCCTTTATCCACCTCTCTGCGGTCTTTAATTTCATCTAGGATTGCATCGCTGTCACTTTTGCGACACCCATCGCTCGTTGATGCATTTACAGCATCTTCACAGGATTTGACCTCTTTTTGTTTATCCTGAGGCTTTTCCTGAAGACTCAAATGAAATTCCTGAAGTGCCTTGGTCTTGAACGTTTTTTGGGGTTTGGTAGATGAGTTTTCCTCGAGTTGAACGTCTTCTTCACTTTTGCTCTCCATATCTTGAATTTCAACTTCCCCAGCTAGGCCAGCTTGGGTGTCCAACGAAGCTGCCAGCAAGCCCTGCAATGGCATCTTTCGTTTCAGCAGCTCGCTACTATGAAATCCAACTTTGGCCTTTCGCACAACTCGTTTGACAAACGTCCATCGAGTTTTGCCAGATCTCTCTGCCTCCAAGCGCTGATCCAGCATTTCAAGCTTGGCTTCGAGCCTTGCTAATTTTTGTTGCGCTTGAATTCTTTGATTTCTTGTACGGTCTTTTCTTTGCAGCAATACTTTTGTTTCTTTTACTTTGTCTTCCAAAGCTGTTTGCGCCTCTTCTAGCCGTTCCACTTCAGTCAACACGCGAGCCTCAGATCGTTTTTCAAAATCGCCTTCACTGTCTTCACTTTCTGAATCGCCATCAAATTCTTCCAGGAGTCTATGTTGCTTGAGAAACGGGTCTGGAGACGGAACTCTATTCGCCGCACTTCTGTTTCTAATGTTAGAGCCCGTAACATTCGACGCAGAAGACGATAATTTTTGATCGTATGTTTCACTCATGGTCTCTTCGTCTTCGGGACTCTCTGAATTTTCAATATCAACTATTAAACTGTTTACTGCTTTCAAGGCTGGTTTGAAATTCTTCTGTCGGCCGATTCCCGCTCTCCTTGCATTTCCTCGTTTCATTCTGGGAAACGGTGAAGGCATGGCAGCAGTCTTTGAAGAAAGTGTTCTTAAACTCAACTAAAGCGCTTTTATATAAACTTCCCGCTTTCTGTAGATTAATGCATCTCCAACTTCTTTGTTATGAGGAGCGTTTGTTGCTAAGAAATAAATAAAAGAGTAATTTTTCACTTTTGTCGGCAAACTCTGCGTGAGATTTGAGGACACCAACGCGAGTCAATCTTATACACTTTCCTAATTGAATTATATTCAATAACATTCAATTCACCTTGAAATTATTAATTATTTAGTGATACTTTGGAGTCTAAATTTCACTTGATTCTATTTTTGGACCCAGGAATTTTCAGAACTCTTAATTAAAGCCATTAAACTAAATTGAAAACCGAGTTTCCAGTTATTGTTGCGTGCTGAAGAATATCCTTCCGGAATTACCTTATAAAAACATGTGATAACTCTCAGGGGCACCCAACGAGAATATAGTTCAAAACCACTTAAACATAGCATTGTAAAACGTATTTTAGTATTTAAACGGTAGATATAGGCATATTTTTATCCCCCCAAAATTTTTCATCTGAAGTCTCATGAATAGCTTCTTTCACTTGTAAAAATTAATGAGACATACCTTTGTCAATAAATATCATCTTACGTTTTTACATCGAGTTTGAGTCGCCATGAAGTAGTGCCTTCGTCTCGATCGACTTCATCGAAATGGTTAGAAAGGCTCTCATTGGGACATCTATACAAATCAAACAATGTTAGAGTTTATTGGAACATGTTTACCTCACCTGGGTGAGGGTCTTTCGGTGTTGTTGAACGAATTTGTTGATTATGACAAACCAACAAAGAATTAAAAGCTTGGCTCATTAACCATATGGATAAACTTACACACCTACGCTGTTAATGTTGTAAAGGAACACCGATGTTTTATTTTTTTAAATTCTTTTAATATGTTTCCCGTGCGGCGGGAGGGACAGCTCTCTAACGGACCGCAGTGAAATGCAGTTGTCTTTCTCTTGGACTTTAGGCAGCACATCCGGAGAATCGTAGGTCTAAACCTGGCAAATTGAGGACAAATAAACCAAACTTTTGTAGGAGTCTGTTTATATTTTTCTTTAACTGTCAATGAAGCAATTTTAAATTCCGTGATGTTTTTAAATTGTAGTATAACTTAAATGTAAGCTAATATGTAAGCTAAACAATATGTCCTTAGCAATAGCAGAGGAGAAGGAATGAAAAACGTTCCAATTCGTTCAAGCTACTCACAGCAAATGCTAAGCTTGAAGGTAAAGATGAAATTAGGCTGAGGTTTGAGCAGGGATTTTTATATCAGCTAGTAACCTTATTAAAGTTTGCTTACTTTTAAGAACTACGAGGGCGTCCTACGGCGCATGAACCACCGAGCTTTCTCCCTGAAAAACTCATTTATTTCAAGTTTTTAACAGCGTGACTTCTCTTGACCTTAATTTATAACTTTTTAGGTATTTTGGGTAAACGCTTATGTACAGTACTGACAGTAATACAGGGACAAAATTGACTCAAAGCACAGGGCAACAGTGAACATAGTACATGTTGATCTATAAACAATGACTGAGTAATGTTATTGAGTAAAAGCGCTTCGAATCAGACAGACAGAATCAGACTTCGAATCAGACCTGAAATGCCTTTTGACTGTTTTCCTATTTATTAAAGCTACAAATATTTACACCCAGTTGCTATGGGAATATGAAAGAAAAAAAGAGAAATAAAAGAATCCAAACAGGAATAAATAAGGTACGCTCACTATTTTAAGGGATCTGGTCTGACGAAATGATGAAGCAGAAAACATCTTTATAGAGGCCAATTTACCTTACACAGTTGATGTCAAATTCGGTATTATATCGTACTGCAAAAGTGTTTGAGGATTAACAATTTACGTGGAAAATTAATTCCCTTTTAGCTAATCTCCTTTTTTGTTTTTGCTTTTTGGCGTCAGAAACGTTTTCTGGTTAAAAACTGGCAGCTGATTTTTTCTTCTTGCCCAGTCCCAGCACGGCGTCTTCCTAGGCCTTCCGCGGTCAATGCATTCGGTGACTTATCCGTGATGAACAAGCGAGGATAAAGGGGACAGAGAAGACATCCCTCCTACACACCCTATTCCATAGGTAATTCGGCTCGAGTTATTTTTAACACCACAAATCTGAAGGGGGATTAGACAACAGCCAATCACATAGCGCGAATGTGTTGCGCGTGGATGACCCACGCTTAGAGCCACGCGCCCTTCACGAATTGACGCAGAACAAAATGGCGGAGGACGCCGAGAGCGATATTGCTATTCGTCTTGTTGACGAAAACGACTACAGCGAGATTGCTGCTAAAGCTGTGTCAGCGAAACGGAAATTAAAAAAGAATCGCCCTTCCTCTCTCGTATAGAGCTAACAGTACAGCAATTTCTGGTTTGATATTTATTCTTTTATTAGTCTTTTATTATTCAACAAAAATAACACTTGGCGTCCTACTTGCTTTATCGTACAAACGACCGGTTTCAATAGATCGTCGAAATTTCTCATTTTATTAAAGCACTGGGGTTACGACCACTTCGAGTAAAACTGATTTCATGGGCTCTCAAAGAGTCCAGCGATTCCCTTTTTCCAGGTGGGCGCCGGTTCATTTCGCTTCAATATTCAGGAATGCTCTCGATCTCTTTACGCTTTCATTACCTTTCGCCCGACATGTTTTGCACGGCGTTTAGTCATGCGAAACCTCCACGAAACATCCACGCAGCGCGCGAGGTAATTTTATCCCGATTCTAAAAATAACTCGAGACGAATTACCTATGGAATAGGGTGTGTATGGGTGATGCCTTCTCTGTCCCCTTTATCCTCTCTTGGTGATGAACTAAAACTCGCTGGAACCATGTGACCCGAAACGCATGGGCCGCGCGGAATGACGAGGCCTAGGGACTAGACAAGAGTTTTCTCCCTGACGTTTGAGTCATTAAAGTCAATTTGTAGAAAGATGAAAAAGCAGCATGACGTGTAGAGCTCTGGTCCTTGGTCGCATGCGTAGCGACGGCTCGAAAAGTCAGGTCTTCAGTCAGTTTCTACGGTCAGTGTTAAATTGTGCTTCGGGACTTCCCGTCACCTTCTTCGACTACAGTTTCTCATGTATTGCAGCCACTTTACTTAATTGTTTAGTTGGACATGGCCTAACCGATGCTTACTAGCGATCGATTCCTCGCCTTCGTGGCTGGCGTCGAAAGGGGATGGAGAGGAAAGGAAAACGACCCTTACAGCCCAGCCAGCCTTTTGTTTCCCATGTTCACAGTTCGAAAAGTTGGCACGCTCAGGGTAACACGGGTAGGTGAGCGACACTCCTGCCGGGAAACGTTTTCTCCGTATAAACAGGGCCTAAGAATCGACAAGTTTTAATAACAAGCGAGCACGGAAAGCAAGACATGTTGTAACAAACTTGCTATTAAAAACGAAACGTGTTTCGCTTTGTAAGTCCCTAGGGATGAAAAAGGATAAATATGGACACCCTTTTTTAAGTCTCCAGAGATGAAGAAAAAAAAGAGGAAAGAAAGAAAGAAAGAAAGAAATATTTTAGCTCATTCTCTCCTGTTACAATTTAAAAACCCTTCAGAAATATCAACACCTTGCTACGTCTTTGGAGTGAGGGAACAATCGCCATTCATTCTCGTCCCCAGAGCCTCCTCATACTCCGGCCTCCAGGAGGTTCTGGGGACGAGAATACATTTATTTGACCCGAAGAGAGGAAAGTGAGGAGTCGCCATGTTTTTTAAGCTGCATGGTTGAGTAAGCCTGCGAAAGAGCTATCCATGTGGGGGAGTCGCGAGAAGTCACGCTAGAGCACCACGCAAAAGAAGACGCGAGTGCCAGGGCCAGGCGTTCTCGCGCGGTTTGCTTTGCTCGCAGGCTACGTAGTCGGAAAAAGTAGAAACGTGTTCAACACCCATCTATCCATTTATTACTAAACAGCACATTTGGATATCTATATCTATATCTACCGTCAGTTTCGATAGAGTTTTGCATATTACGAACAATTTAAAAACCGTATGAGAAATTCAGTATACCGTAAAATTCCGAAAATAAGCCCCTCCATGTATAAGCCCCCCAAACCGGTAAGGCAAAACACCCTCCGTTAAATCGCCCCTCCAAATATAAGCCCCCCGGGGACTTGTACTTGGAAAATTACCCTACAAAGTAAAACAAAGCAAAAACGGTAAATTTACTTCCAACTATAAGGCTAACCCAATCGATTTTGAAACGCAAATTTCCCTCCGAATATTAGGCCCCTCCAAAAAAAGGCCTTTAAAAAATGTAAGCCGCGGGGCTTATTTTCGGAATTTTACGGTAGTTGTTCAACCGAAGAAATATAGGCATAAATATGAAAATAAATTGTACTTACGTAAACTTGGGCCTGTTGTCGCTTTTTCTGTGTAACCTGGGCTCAATTCATGGTCATTTTATTCGGTTTTGCGGCTCGTTGTTTGTTCGGTGTTGTTTTCCTACAAAAAGCGAAGCTAGACAGGAGACTCTGTGTAGACTCAACTCACAAATCTCTTCCGCATCAAAGAATCGCGCACCGATTCATCATAAAAACGCCAAATCCTTAAGGCCAGGTGATTCTCTTATCTCTTCCTCTCGTCATGGGTATTGTGGGAAAATGTTTTGAAGGTTTTCAGTTCTGGTCAATCTGACGTGCGCTCAGGAAACTCGATGACTAGTACGTGTTGCGTGGTGAACGCGAACATTTTATATACGCTCATCTAATTGGATAATTCCAAACACCGCTTACGCGCGCGCTATTAGTAGACTATCTGAGAGTGGGAAGATCCATGTTTTGTCATGTAATATTGATTGCCCGGATCCTGAAGCCATGTTCGCGTTCACCATGCAATGCGTAGTCATCGAGGTTCCTGAGCGCACGTCAGATTGCCCAGAACCGAAAACTTTCAAAAAATATTCCCACAAAAAACACATCGCAGTACCCATCACGAGAGGAAGAGCTCGATAAAAGACTCACCCGGCCTTAACGATTTGGCGCTTTCATGGTGAATCGGTGTGCGATTCTTTGATGTGGGAGAGACTTTTTTTAAGTTGAGACCGCACAAAGTCACCTGCCTCGCGTCGCTTTATGTAAGACGACAACACCGAACAAACAACGAGCCGCAAAACCGTATAAAATGGCCGTGAATTGAGCCCAGGTTACACAGAAAAAGCAACAACAGGCCCAAAATTTATTACTACATTTATGCCTATATTTCTACGGTTAAACAACTATATTGAATTTCTCACTTAAAGTCTTTAAATCGTTCGTAATATGCAAAACTGTATCGAAACTGACGGTAATTTATGCACCGAGCTTGGGCCACCTGTGGTACAATGATTGACAATTCATATAATTAGAAATGGACAACTGCAAGTATTTACACAAATTATAAATCACTATACATCCTTTTGAAGAAAGGGATCTAAAAGAGTGTACTACATATGACAAAAGAAACGAAACAAATAACAAATACAAACGAACAAACTAACCAAAAATACAGAGGCACATAAAAATGATATGAATCATATTTTTCTGTTTTTGTCTTCAATACAACCATTTTGATATCAATGGTGATTCATTCCATCTCTTGGCTCTTAGCAGTGAAATTTATTCACGAATTGCACTATTTTTCGCCCTAAATCGCATCATTCCTGTTTAAATTTCTTTTTATTTATGTTATTTCTGTTTTTAAGGATGAATGAGATGTAGAGTCGCTTTCGGTTTGGCTTTACAAACCAGCTACTGGATCAATAAAATTTGGGTACTGACTGAAATCCTGTACTTGGCAGTTAAATTGTGCAACTTTAAAATGGATATATATAAAAAAAGTGGTAATTGAACCTCGTGTTGTGCAACTTTAATCTAAAAGCACACTTCTGATTGCACGCTCGTTAGATTTTCAAACTAGTATAATTGTAATTTTAGACCCGGGAAGGGACTCTCGAATAAACAAGACGGATCACCCTGCGAGTAGAGTCTCCTTTTGTCTTCCTGAGTGAAGAGGAGAAAAGGAGGGTCTGCCAGAATCACGTGAAACCTTTGAATTTTTACACCCCTAAGCGAGACGACGAGCATCCCCACCCCTTTTATATGGGAGTTCCCCCTGGGAACCAAGCCCGCTATCAAGCAAGCAAAAGACTGACTCTGCTGATGGGGTGATGATGGGTATGCTTGACAGAAAATTAGATTATTAAGTAATGATCCAGGTAAGGTGGATAGCATAGCAGAGAATGCATAAACCTTCATGAAGGCCGTTTACGCAATAAAATGCATCTACACTCCACTTTGAAAGGGTGTTTTTTTGGGTTAAAAGATTTTGACCAATCACAAGAGTTGAAAACAATAGCCAAGAAAAGTTTACAATTTTACATGTTCCCCACATTGGATTTCTTTGTTATTCAATCTGAGACCAGATTTTGTTATATGAAAGATGGTTAGAAAGTAAGGATGAATATATGTACCGCTTTATGAAGTTTTGTTAACTTTTGCTGTTTAAGCCAATCAGAAGTAAGTACAGACAATAGAAAAGTTAGCACCTTTTTTGCATTCCAACAAGTTCGTTGCCGGTGTTGCTATCGTTCTTATCTGGGCGTGGATCGGGTTTTTTGACCCCTTAAGGAGACCTTACTACAAAACAATGTAACGGCATTTGTTATTTCCATTTAGGAATTTCTCCACCCACAACCAAACTGAAGCGATACCTTCGTGGGTAAAAATATTGGCTTTCTGCCCTAAACACCCAAAGGAAGACCAAAATATTCAATCTCTACTCCAAAGGCAGACGATGAGCAACCCAGTCGTTTAGTCCTATTGGAGCCTCCCCCCCTCCCCCCTTCCTGGGATTTCAGACCAAATTACACTCCACTCAGTTCAATTATGCTATTATCTTGTTAATCGTCATCACTGAATGAAGATGTTGAAGACATGTCATCATCTGAGTCATCCTGTTCAGCAGGTACTAAGGCGCCCTCAGGTGCTGGGGCATCAGGATTTCTATGGAGGGCAACAGTAGAATGACCATGAGAAACGAATTACGGTCGTTTCGCCCAAAGGCGTTCGCTAGGACTTAAGTCGATTTGCCCGATGACATACAATACTCTACAACAAGGTGAACCTACATGTACTTCTCCGAGTCACTGTCTTTCCATGCTTATTCCTTTTGCTCGGGCTTAAAGAACGACAAATACACATTGGGCGAATCGACTTAGTCTGGGCGAACTTGCGAATTGACCTTAGGGCGAAGCAACCTGATACCTGAGAAACCATACATAACCTTTAAATCAACCCAGAGTATGAGCTACACCTGTCCCCCTTATGAATGCCTCAGGCCTTTTTCACACACCATCCTGCACAAAGCTTTATGCTCTTGCTACAATGGAGGTCAAAAGAACTTAGGACACAGTGAAAAAACCCTTCCTAATGACAATTTTTGGATCAGCTTTGGATTCATCCCTTCATCCCTCCACTCCCCTCCGACAATTTTTTAACCCCAAATGGACTCATTTCCACCCATTTTGCTAAGACCTCAACTTTTTGGGGGGTGGGAGAAAGGAGGTCACCAGTTTTACTTTGGAAGGTCCCAACACTTTTGACCTTCACTGCAGCCTTCATTGCAGGCTTTTCCTTCAGGTGTGGGAAACCACGTTTCTGCTTGTGTAACCACCATGTTGAATTCCAAAAAATTTGAGGAGTTGGGGAAAATAAAAAGAAGCGGAGAAGGGGAGGGGAAGAGGTCGAGAAACATAAGACAACAAAGTATTTTGGACAGTTCTCTCTGCTACATAGAGAAAGCAACACCAAATAAATAAATAAATAAAAATAAATAAAACCTGCAGTCATAATGAGGCTTCTAAACTTACTCAAGTAAACTTGGATCCAGTCCTTCTGCCATCATTTTGGGGGCAATTGCTGGAATTGGCACACCCTGAATTGCAATCAACAACAGCATTGTTACGAATTTTGCTTTGGTTTCATTAAAAAGTAACAACAAATAATCAGCCATTTTGTTTTCACTGCAGTCGTCATCGTGTTTGATGACCCTGGACAGAGTAAGGCAATGTGTGGAGGTTTTGTGATGGTACTACGTTGAGAAGATGACCCAGTGACTTGAACAGATAAATTCAAGTTAGACCTGATACATTGTAGGGTTGGCCAATAGGTGCCACTGAGGACCACAGCTAGTGGTGCGTGCACGCCAGAGAGAGAGATTTGAGCCTGGAACCTCCAGATTGTACTGATCAGTCAGTGATGCTGCCCCTAACTCATTGATTTTTATGTCAAATACTTACAACTTTGACCATCTGGAAGTACTTAGCATATCTTGGATCTTTGGAAACAGTCATTGCTAGGAAAAGTGGACAAAATGTATGGAATTATCAGAAAAAATAATACTGACATTTGACTTTTCTGTCTGTATGCATATAGTACAATAATGTGTAAAGAGTTCAAACAAAAGATAACAAACGTGCTTACTTGGTTTTTCTGGCTCTGGAGCTGTAACAGTTACAATAAAAAAACAAATTAAATATGAAGTTAACAAACAGATAGTTTTATTACATAAAATTAATCATTTATTATTTTTGTTTGTGCTATTGTGTGCCACTACTCTAGTATTCATGGTTTCCATTAAGTTCCAGCGACCAGCTAAAAAAACAGCTACTTCAAGGTTTAAGCCATCTTCAAGTACTTTTAGGGGAAACGGGTAAAGAGGGGGAGAGAAAGTCTGAAACTGCCTTCAGCACTTAATTACCAAGCTGCCTACTTTTACATCCTTGCTGTCTACTTTAAAACTTAATGAGAACCCTGAGTATTTATCACTTGCATTTTAAGGTTTACCTCAGCTAACAATAATCAATCAATTTATTACTAAGACACACAGTTTTGCAACTCAAAACAACAAACAGCAACAACAACAAGGAAAAACAACCAAATTTGCTAGTTCACTGCCTGGATTACAGAGAAAACAAGGCCCCATAAAATGTGGGTGTGTTGGCCCGCTGACTGCATGATGCAGTGGTTTAGTTATTATTTTGGGAAGTACAGATTATTATTACACTTTTTTACTAGCTTGAGTGTATAGCTACTATTAACCCGTGGAATATAATGGGATGATAGAGATTAGTCTTTGGAAGCAAGAAACAATTAGCATTATTTTTAACTGGGCAATTCCACAACCCACTTCCTTCCCCATCACTCTGCCCCCCAAAATATAACATGACTAATCTGATCTGATTGGTAATTCCAAAAATTATTGTGATTCTATGCTGCCTTATAAAATGTGTCAGTAGTTTTCCGTTTCTTAAAACTCACAAAGGAAATTGAGTTTCAATTTTATTTCTGTCGGATATTGCATTTAAAGCCCTTCTAAATATCCAAGTGAATATGTTTCTATTTGACGGGGTGATCTACAAATAGCATATTCCTTTCTTGTAAGAAGACCTTAAGGAAAGACTTTTCACATGCAAGGATAGAATTCAAGCAAGTTAAAGCTTTTCCCAAGGGGATGTGGGAGTGCATTGTTTCTGACCCTCCCACACAGGCTAACAACATCATAGAATACTGTATTTAGATAATCATTTGGTGTAGATATAGGACCAATAACCCCAAGCAATAATTTTGTATTTGTTCAAAATCGACTTCCAAATCTGTTTGCCAGACGACCTGAAATGACCCATCCCCTCCCTGCAAAATGTGGTCCCATTGAAGGGGGAATGGGACTCGCAAAACCCTCTGGGAATTTTGTCTGCTATTTTGTCTTTTTTGGACATACCGGTACATGTAGAAAGAATGTTGCCTCTCATTTTTTGGTTGGGTGTTTCCCTCAGGGGCAGCCCAATAAATATGAAACTGATGGTGTGAGCAAGGATTCAGTTCCTACTATGCAAAAGATTCCCACAATCCTTCAGCACTAACCTGGTTGATCTGTGGGAGGTGCAGGGGGTCCCTGTGGAAGAAATGTAGACTGGAGTTGCAGTTTAATAGTAAGGGAAACTTCTATGACATTGTTACTATTTTCTACTACTAGTGGACACATGCTTGTGAGGAAAGTTGCCGTGTCATAAATTTTATTTAACCTGTCCATCACTTGCATTGATGGATGAAACTATTAGAACCAGATTCTTCTAGCATGCATGTCTGTTAGGATTAAAATGCTGACCTTTCATCATCGAGCCCTCAGTAATATACAATAAATTTAAAATTTCAACTATTATCAGAAAAAAAACACCCATACCTTTTTGAATTCATACTATATGGCCAAAGGTTAAGAAAATATCATAAACATGTCTTAAAATATCAGCGAGATAAAGCATGAAAATTTGTCACACCAATGCGTGCTCAACACAGATTGTTACGACTCAGAGTAATTATCAGTCTTCTTTTCTAATTGTCTAATAAATATCACAAAAAAGAGACAGTGAAACAGCAACTATGTAATTACATTTATTATGATATCATTCATAAAAATATAACTTTTACACAAAATAATGTGTTGTTTACTGTACCTCAGCAGCTGTTTGTGGTGTGTCAGAAGGAGGAGGAGGTGGAGCTGTCGCTTGGGCTGAAGTGGAGGCTGCACTACCAGATGGAGCTGGAGCAGGTGTTGACACTGTCACATCCTCGAGGCCTGGAATTGACGCCAACTGTATAACACAAACAAAAAACATTAGTCATCAAACAAGACAACAAGGCAGGTTGCACCATGAACTCATTAAAATGTCAGCTGTGCACGTACTGCAATATGACATGCATCCAATGGCTGTTGCTTCATCTCTCTTAAACTGTCACCTTTCGCAGATCGTTGTAAATCCTTACTACAAATAGGTTTTGTGCATTAAATGAACACTTACGCCCGGTTCAGATGCTGTTCTTTTCATGAGCCGAACCTAATACATTGAATTAAGTACATGAAAAGTTCGGTCTGAATCAATTAGGAACGCCTATTTCAATTTGGAATGGCTCAGCTGTTCTTCACGCCTAGCCTGGCTGGGAGTTTCGACTTTGGAACAACTTTGGAATGGCTTTGATTCAGACGCTGAACTTTTCATGTACTGAATCTAAAATGTGACCAAAATGAGCATTTTTCACCTCCTTTTGAATTTAGTTCGCCTGGAATTAAGATCTGCGTCTGAATCAATTCAGGTGGTCTAAATAGTTTCAGTCGGCCTTAATTCGAATTAGGTTCAGCTGATGAAAAGTTCAGCATCTTAACTGGGTCTTAGTAACAGATGCCATGGTTACCTCCAAGGCAATGCTGCCGTTTGCACTCCAGGCCCTTCCCAATTAAGGCACCCACTCCCAAGCTCATCTTGTCAATGAGTTTAAAGGGGAAGTATGAATTAAGTAAACTGGAATTCCTGTGGGTTCTAGCTAGGGAGGAGCTTGGATCGAAATTCCTTCTGTGGGAGATTAATGAATATTTCTACTGTACCTACCTTGGCTTCTAGGATGCTCATCATTATTTCAATTCTTTGTATCTTAGTTGACAATTCTGCTAACTTCTGTAATATCCCAAACAAAACCATATTAATAAGTTATAAAATTTTAGAAAGATTATGTATGTTGTTGAAATGCTTCCATTGTTTGCCCATACTGATCAGCAAAAATGATATCTGTAATATAATAACTTTATAACAGCAGCAGACAGTCAAAATGTATCATCTTTAACCCTTTGGAATCACTGTTTGTTACATGCCTATGCACTCATTCACTAACAACTAAAATTAAATGAAAGAAGCCATATTAGGGCTGGCTGGAGGATTCCCCATTAACATTGACTATGACTGACTGATTGAAGTAATATTGTACTTCCTAAAATGAAATTCTTCAAGATTTAATTTTTTCTAGGGAATAGTCCAGTTTTAAATTAAAAGTTACTGCTGAACTCAAACACTTATGACACATTCATACAGAGTTAGCCTCAACATAAAGTAAAATATTCACAAATTCCTGCAAGTAAGTGTTTGAAATTTGAAAAATAATACACAATAGTAAGAGTAATAAACAGGTCTTCTTTTCATTGGGTAACTTTCGGTAAACACAAAAACAGTTCGCTCTTTAAAAATTTTGTTAGCACAAGCTGAAAGAGCATATTAAAATTAAGTAACCTGATCATTTTCAGCCCTGTATCTCAGAAGTAGTGATTGTAATGGTCGCCAAAAGTTAGAAGCATATGTATGAGAAAAACAACTTTTGCCACCCAGTCATGCTTGTATGGTTTTCCTGACAAATCCTTGTAAATTCTAAAATTTTTAAACTGTCGTTAAATCTTTCTCTTACGAATTTAAGGGCTCAAATTGCCTGTTATGAATTAAAAGGAGATTTGAACCCTGTAGTGATTAAGGAAATATTTCATGAAAGTTTTGAAAATATCGAAATTACAAGGATTTGTATGGAAAACCATGCAAGCATGACTGGATGGCAAAAGTTGTTTTTCTCCTAAAAATGCTTGCAACCTTCGGTGGCCATTGTGATCACTACTTTTGAGACATACGGCTGAAACTTCTCAGGTTACCTAATTTTAATATGCTCTTTCAGCTTGTGCTAACAAAATTTTTCAAAAATGAAATGTTTTTGTGTTTACCGAAAGTTGATCACGTGATAAAGTCATGCAAAGAGCCTAGTGAATATACACTATTTTGTATTTACTTCAGATGGAGGCTAAGCCTGTACAATGTGTCTTCACTTCTTTTATTCAGCGGTCATAACAAACTCGAAACTGGACTATTGTAACACCTTATGGATATTTTAATGTCATAAAGTTTTCTCAGGAAGCCAATTGTTTTTCAATGTCATTTTGGTTCTCTTAACATTGTTGGCTCCATTTGACTTGCAGTCACCTTTCAGACACACTCATCCATTACTGGTAGTTGCTGATGAGTTTAAACTTTGCACAATGCATTAATGACTGCTTCACAATATTATTATAATCCTGATCTACGCTCACTCACCTCTTCACACACACATGAAAATCTATTTAAGAATCTGACTGAATGTGTAATAAAATGATTGAGAAATGCCAAAGTTCTTTTGTGGTTAATTGGTCCAACCTGGAAAAGAATTCAAAACATTAAACATTTCAAAAAATCTCGTACCAGTAGTTTCTAATCCATTCTTATCAAATGTTGATGCCCAACATAGTATACAGCACCCCTCATATCAACATGTGGTTATGGCAACCAATGAAATTGGAGGTCCAAAAGGAGTGCACGTCTGGCCAACACTTTTAAGATTTAAAAATCTGCACGTGATCTTATATGCTTGATTGCAATACTTGGTTCATGCATCGAGAGTTCAAGACCTTGCTTAGGCTGGTTTCAAATGTCGTGCTACTTCTGTGCTGAATTCAATAAAATATTGATAGATTTAATTCAACTTTGGCACAGCAATTGTATACCTGCCAACTCTCACACCTTAGGCGTGAGTCTCACGCCTGCGGGTTGAAAACTTCGATCTCACGCCGGCTCACGCTTGCGAGCCAATTTCTCACGCCTGATTGAAAAATGTGAGTTGTTGCCGTCTTGCTTGACACAATTTCCAAAAATATGTTAACTCAGACCCATGTAAGGAACAAAAACCATGTGTAAAATGAATAAATGACAATACCTTCCTTGCAATCTCTGATTTTTGAAGTGAAAAGCACTGGGAGTGAGCTCGCGTTTATACGCGTCCTAAGACTGGGACTCGATAACTTCGCCTTCTGCAGACTTCGGACATCTTCGGAAGTCTTCGGAATTCTTCGGAAGACCTCGGACTTCTTCGGAAATCTTCGGAAATGATCGTGTCGTCTTCAAAAATCCCAGCACTCCCAGGATAAAAATCTCACGCTTATATCTCAGAAAAAGTTGGCAGGTATACAATTGCGCAATGTTTGAAATCATTCAGCTCAGCAACTTGAATTTAGTTTGACACAGCAATTAAATTCAATAGGGTCTGCTGTGCTACACATCAGTGGCATGGCTCAGTTTCTCACATCGTGCTATTGCCATGCCAAACTCAATTCATAAATTATGAAAATATATGTTTAAGTGTTTTGACTCTACTGCGCCTGACTGCGATATTTTCTTTATTTTAAATTTGGCGCGACAACTGAATTAAATTTGACATTTGAAACCACTCCCATGCTATTGCCATGCAACTGCCAGGTCAAATTCATTTGAGTTTGACACAGCAGTACCCTGCGAGCAGAGGCAACATTTTCGCTGTGTGAGCTGGTGTGAGAAAAGTAGCCTCTGCCGACAACTGTTCAAATCCGTCCAGAAGTCTGGACGAATAAATTAAGAAACGTTTTTTTTTTCCTGTTCTTGACTGGTTTAGAGCATTGCATGAGTCCTGCGTAGCAAATCAGAGTTGTCACAATTATTTATTCCCGCGAAACTTGTACCATTTCACGACAGACCTGACAATTAATTTTGCTTGCGAATCGTGTGAAGAATTTCGCGCATGCACGATAGAAAATTGAACGGTTGCAACGCTACTTTTCGCACGACTGCTCACACAGCGAAAATATAGCCTCTGTCTCGCTGTCTCAAACGTTTTTTCTCTCTTTTCTGCTTAATAAATGAAAATGGAGCTGCAAAGCTGCAAGAGAGATGAAAGAGAACCTCTGGGGATTCTTGTACCAGAGCTCCCTTTGATTTTGAGGTTGACTTGAGGGAAGAAGTAGTACAAAAGAAAAAATCTCCAGATTTGAGATTTGCAGTGTAAATCGCTAGGGGGCAGTGCAACATCTAGATGAATACAAAGTGTCAGAGCAACAATACCTGTGTAAAATCTACATTTGGTCCCACAATCGGTAAGCCATCGTTATCCATGATTCTTCCAATTGCTATAGGCCAGTTTTTAAACAACGTTTACGACAGAATTTCTCCTTTTACTCGTCAAAACCGAAACACTCTTATCGCTCATTCGGTCTCCAACAAACATCCCCGATTTTTTGGCTCAGCTGCATGTTTCGATATGAAATAAATGGTCATGTAAGAAACACTAAACTTATCACGTGACTTGTTGATTGAAGACGCGCTACGTGTTCTACGTGTTGTTTTGTATGTTGTTCTTTTGCAATGGCCTGGTTAGGTGGGAATTTTCCGCAATTTTGAGAGCCTTTATCTCTTATTGACCATGAATAAGCAACGAGGAAACGCTACAATGAGGCTGTCTACAATTTGTCTGCTAATTGTGTTATTACTGGGCGTAAATTTTGGACGAGGCGAGGTGAACTCATGTTCAATGTTGCAGCGATTACACGGCGAAATGGTCAACATCAAGCAGGCGAAAGAAAATGCCGAGAAAGAAGCGGGAATCGTCTCAGTTCCTAAGGCGATGACAGTGAATTCTTCAGTGGATTGTGAACAGGGATGCTGTGGTAATATCAACTGCACGGTGTATCTATTTTATCCGCGTCAGCCTTCTAATGATGAACACCAGAACTACGACTGTTTCTTTCTTAACTGTCGACCACAAAACTTGTGCTCTTTGGTCAACGTCAGCAGCAAAGCTGAAGGAGCAGTTGTAGGAATTCGAGATCTTCAGCTAGCAGGTAAAGGGATGTGTTAAGCTTGTATTAGACTGCGAGCAGTCTCTTATTTTTCTTTGCAAAGTTACTGCAACAGTAACCCAAACATACGAGCCGCGGTTTGCAATCGCGCTAGCTGAGAACTAGACCGGTTTTAAGAGAAGAGGTGGACTGCAAGCAGTCTAAGCTTATATTGACACCCTGTACATACACCATGCCAACTGAACGCAAGGTTCACTGGAGTCCAAATCAAAACGCATCCTTGTCTTGTGTATAATTATAAGTAACACGCGTAACACAACTGTAGCTTGTTTGTAATGCATCAGTCAATTCAAGCTGCACACAGCACTCCCCCAGGCTACTGCGGGGCATTTGCCCGCCTTGTCAGTCCCGAGGTGGGACAATTGCAAATTTTGCACTCCCCGGGGGCCGGGCATTTGCCAACCCCGGGGCCATTCTTGAGCTTTTGACATGGATGCGGTTTCCTATCAGAATATGACTACACAGAAGCTTTTACTGGGAAAAAAAGCAGATTGGCTAATCTGTCAAGGACAGGAATAAATTGAAGAGGAGGGGGGCGTAAGGGGGGTACGAATACCGCAATACCACATCAAAATTTAGCCAAATACCGAAACCGCAGTTACAAATGGGAAAAAGTTGACGTTGTCAATATTACAAATCCTCCTTTCAAATAGAAATAATACTTTCATGTCAGTGTTTCCAAGTCAAGGTGCGTCGAAGTCAAGCATGCGATAAACATAAGATCATCGCACTCGTTTAATTTTGTTCATTACATGTATACATTTACTTAAATGATACAACGGGGATACTTGGGTTAATATTTGCTGGGTATGTGCCGCTGGCCTCCCAGAGCCCCTAACGCCATTATAATCTATCCTGTGGCCAATGATAGACCCCGCCTTAGTCACTTTTGGACAAATATTTAATTTTCTGATCCCAGCTTAGTCACTTTGTATTTTTTATGACTTGACCATTTTTTAAGTGAATGAAGAACACTTTACTTTTCATCTACAGTACAAACATTGTGGTACGTTTGCTAACCGTAAATATGAAGAACTGTCTACCCCAAAAAGTCGGAAAATGCGCGACCTCATACTGCGGCACATCCCCATTAGCCTCTTATAAGGAAGTAACTCCAACCTCCCCCCCCCCCCCCCCCCCCCCCCCCCCCCCCCCCCCCCCCCCCCCCCCCCCACCCCCCCC